TTCTTTAGAAGTTCATATAGAGGTTTTGCTTTATCAGCAAATGACTCAATGAACTCTCTGGAAAAATTCACTAACCCTAGGAATTGTCTTAGTGCTTTGAATGTTGTTGGTACAGGAAGTGCAGCAGTAGCATTAACCCTTTCTTGCAGAGGTTGACGTTTACCGGGACTGATCTGAATACTGAGAGGCTTGACTTTGCGTTTCATGAGCTGAACCTTACAAGTATTTAGCTTGAGACCTGAATCTTGCAGCAGATCAAACAATTCTGCCAAAAGGGTCAAATGCTCCTCCTCACTTTCAGTTGACAAGATATCATCTACATATTGTAGGATACAATCTGGTCTAGAAAATTTGGCTAGGACTTTCGTTAAAGCTTGAGAAAATACACTTGGACTCAGATGATAGGCCTTGAGGAAGGTGTGTGAAGGTATACTGCACATTATCAAAGCTAAATGCAAATTTATATTGACAACTTTTGGACAAAGATTGAGAAGAATCCATTGACAATGTGTCAGGAATGGACTTGCCAATAGTGGTGGGACTCACCTGCCTTGTGGGCTGCAGTACCAGGGCTGGCCAGCGGGTGCTCTCAACAACCAGAGGTTCACTTCAGCAATTAGCCATCGCCTGGGGCTAATTGCAGGTGTATTTAAGGGATGGCCAGACCTGCAGTCTGTGCCTTGGTGTGTGTTTTTTTCCATGGGCCCCTGTACCTTGTAACCTGCGTTCCTGTTCCTGTTCCTGTTTCTGCCTGACTTGTTGCCGACTCTGCCTGATCCTGACCTCTGCTGACTTCTCCTGTTTTGATCCCTGGCTTGTGACCCTTACCATTCTCTCCGCCTGCTCCTCCTGTACCTACCTGCCCGATAATTATCCACCCGGCCTGCCTGACTACGTTGTGCTCTATATGTGTATGTACCTGTGTATCTATATCAGTTTAAGTTTGGGTTTGTTTCACCTTGTTGTATGTATTTGTGTTAGCTTGGGGTTTGGTGCACTGCAGTTATGTTTGTATTGTTAGTCTTAATAAATTGTCTTATTTATACGATATCTGGAGCCTGTGTTTCCCTGTGTCAGTACACACATCTCTGGTCACACCCCCGCATCCCTGACACAATGTCAAATACAGAGAACACTTTTGCTTTTGTATCAATTCAGGACATTATATCTGGTGTATCTGCCACTATTGGGGCGCAACTTGGGGTAAATGTATTCAGCATTCTGAGATCTACCAGAAGCCTGAATGAATTAGGGTCATCACGATTAGGTAATACCCATAATGGATTCTTTGTTACAGAATTTGTTTTCCTGATAATACCTTGTTGCAGAAGTTCCTGTATGAACATCGATACTGGTTCAATAGATTCTGGTGGCAATTTGTATTGCTTTTGTGGGGGCGGATCCCTGCCTTGCATGTCTACTTCTATGTCTTTAAATAGACCTGCTTCATTTTTGCCATGGCTCCAAAGATATTTGTATGATTTGACCAATTGTTCTAATTCTTGATTATCACCAATATCTGGCCATGTATGGTCTGCAGCAATCACTTCTGTTAAAAGATGCTGCCGACTTCACAGTAATCTGCTGTGTCATTTACCACAGGCTTACGATTAATGGAACCTTTCCATACAATGCCATTGCCAAGGTCAAAAAGCATACAAAAAGTACAAAGAGATGCAATGTGCCAATGAAAATCGCAATGTACAACAATTAGCAAATACCATACATTCAGAGATGCTAAGATAAGCAGACAGAGAAAACGATCTCATGTCACACATATTAATAGCATTGCAATAGAGAAGACAACATATGATCACAGCAAAAATGAAGGCACATAATTACCATAATAAGGCGTAAGCTATCCACAAGACGGGCGGGATCACTTGTTTGTTCCCCCAACGGTCTTTGATCATATAAAAGCAGGGCAGAGGGGCAGAGGATATGAGTAGAGGCTGTAGACATCTTATAGTGGAAAGTTGGTGTAGAGAGCTCCATGCTATCCACGAGGTAGAACGGGGGCTACAATTAGTGATTGCCAGTGTATGAGGAGATATCTTCGTGAATCGGATGAAGCACTTTTGCCGGTTGTGTATTGGTATGGGAGTATGTTGCCTATGGGCAGGGGAAATAGTGATAAGGGTAGGAGGAGAAGAGTAAGGTAAGACATGGAAAGTAGAAAGGAGGAAAATGAAGGGAAAGGGGAAGAGGATGGTGAAAAAAGAGTCAGAAGGGGGGTAAGGAAGGTTAAGGAATGGAGAGTCAGAAATGGAAAAGGAGGGAGAGAGGAGAAAAGAAAGAACAAAAAAATAAAAAGGGGGGCGCAGAGGGGGAGGATACTGGGGGGGGGGGCGGTGGGGTTAGGCATACTACATGTGTGGAAACTCCAGGGACAGAACTGTTTAGAATCAGCCCCAAAGGGGGCATAGGCAAGAGTCAGACAATTGGGTGCATTGTTTATGAGTGTGTCACACTCTGACCAGTGTGTAGGGGTTAGATAAGAATTTCTCGACAGCCATGAAAAGGTTGAGGGGTCGATATGGCGTAGGAAGCAATGTGGGAATCCAGGTCCGGCACAAAGTCAAGTGCAGAGACCCATAAGGGAATGGCATTCGGAGGTCATTTGGAAGTGAGTCCAACAAGACCAGGTATGGGGAAATTTAGTTGGTATCAGGGGCGGACTGACAACTCATGGGGCCCCCGGGCAATAGGGGATCATGGGGCCCCTGTGTCCTTGCCCAAACTCAAAAAAGCCTATGAAAAAGGTACCAGGGGCATCTCATGGGGCCCCCTACTGACCCCGGGCCCTCGGGCAGTGCCCGAGTTTCCAAATGGTCAGTCCGCCCCTGGTTGGGATATCTTGAGATGATGCAATCAGCTCCTCTATCTCCGCTACTACTCTTCCCAGACGTGTGAGCCAATCTCGTATTGAAGGAGGGTGGGTCGATCCCCAGGTAGGCAGTGTCTAGCCCCATTAAGCATATGCATTGCCAGTGATTTGAAATATAGACGTCTGGGAAGAGGGGTATAGTGGAAGAGAAATTGGGCCGGGGAATGACATTGAATTTTTATCTTGTACCACATCTAATGAAGTTGGGTCAAGATATTTACATTTTTTTGCAAATGCTTTTATCATACCTGTATCGTTTTCATCATCTACGCCCAAGACCATTTTGTATGCCTTTGAGAATTTAATTTTAAATTCACAAGAGTTCTCTCTAACTGAAGTATGTAATGAGTCTAGCACTTCTAAAGAAGGTACTTCCTCACCAGTTGTACATGACAATTGTCGTAATCTGTCGTAAGCTGTCACTATGTTTTTCTCATTTCCTTCATTGTCAATAACAGGTGATTTCATAAATCATCGGGCAAAATGTACAGGTAACCAAAGATAACAGATACAATCATGCTGTTCGTCCGTTAGGTTATAGCGATCAGTGTAGGATTCAAATACATCAGCATTATAAAAAGCGTCTGTCTTTGAGTCTTATGCTGGGATGTCTTTTAACATTTTCATTAATTGATCATGTATTTGTAATTTTAATTTAGCTGCACGGTCTAGTAGATTTTTCTTTCTGACTTCTGTTTCATCATCTGCTTCATCTCCCCTCATTTCGGGAATGCAGGAAGCTTGAGGCTTTGACTTATGTTCAGTCTCTTTGTCACCTTTTTTTATTACCACAACATGTTTACTGTCATTCTGTAGTCCTAACAAAAGATCTGTTCTGGAGTCAATTTGTTCCTCAAGGTTCTCTATGTAATTACAAAAAATGTCACAGTTTGGACAATTAAGAGAATCCTGGGACAAATTTTCATACATTCCTGTGTTCTGTACAGTGTTACATTCTGCTTTAATGTACAAACATTTTTAGCAGGTAAATCAACATTAAAAATCATTTTGTTGAATATTCTTACCAAATTTAAGATATTAGATATCTTTGTATGCTGCTTGTTTACAGTAAATCTAGATGTATCTATCTGAACATTAACCTGTAAACATTCATTGTACACGTATTGCCATAAATGTCCATCATCAGGATATAAAGAAACATCTTCAACCACTTCAAATCCGTACACTTTCACCCTCTTCCTGTCCAGGCCAATTTTCAGCTTTCAGCGCTGTCACACCTTGAATCACAACTACGCTGTCATGCAACACTGTACAAATATAAATTTTTTACAGACAGATAAACTTTATTTTGGTGGTATTTATTCACCGCTGGGATTTTTATTTTTTGCTATATAAAATGAAAAAGTCCAAACATTTTTGAAAAAAAAGGGGTTTTCTTATACAATTTTGCAAATAAATAATCTTTCTTCAGTCATAAATATTGGCTAAAATGTATTCAGCTATCTTTTTAGTAAAACAAAAAAACAACCCAAATTAGTTTATAACCAAAAAACTATAATTTTTCAAAAATAGTTTTTACATTTTAATTTTTTTTAATATTATTATTTATGTTTTTTTTTATATCATACTGTCACCCTAGCAGTAGATAGTGACACTGTACTACTTGTGGGGGGTGAAGAAGATTTTTTTTTAAATTTTTTTACACAGATTGCTTTTACACCCATAAAGGCTGTAAAAGCAATAATTTCTCCTTCTCTCTGGTTGCATTCTTGCAGCCATTGAGAAATACTGTGTGAGCTGTGATTGGTCATAGCTTGTCACATTTTTATTTTTTTTTATATTATTTATTTTACTATTTTTTTTTTTTTTTTTACATACTGTCACCCTAGCAGTACAGTGTCACCATGGTGGCATTGTACTGCTTTTGGGGGATGATGAAGATTTTTTTTTTTTTACACTGATTGCTTTTACACCCATATAGGATGTAAAAGCAATCATTTCTTTTTCTCTCTGTCTGCATTCTTGCAGCCATTGAGAAATACTGAGTGAGCTGTGATTGGTCACAGCTTGTTACATGGTACAAGGCAATGTCAGAAGTGACATCTTGCTTACTACTATTCATGTGATCACTGATTGGCCAATCGGTGATCACATGATCGGGACCTCACACAGAGGTCTCGTACAGCGATCGGTGTTCAGACACAGGGGGCACCGGATCCTGATGCCGCGCGCTCCCAGGGAGTGCGCACAAGCAGGGAAGCGGAAGGACATTTATAAAGGGCCGTTCGCTCCTGCACTGCTCCTCTCCGGCTGTTTATGTACATGGGCCGGACGGGAAGTGGTTAAACTCTAACTTGCTTTCTATAGCTAGTTTATCAATACATTCCATGACTTTTATTCACTATAATCAGATGATTTTCTTGTTTGCAGCCTACAGACCTCTTGTCCACGTCTGACGAAACACAAACGCCTTGTCTGTAGGTTCCTGACTGTGTTTTCCAGAGACTTGATCAGTCACAAAACTGTGATGTCTCCCCCCTTTGTCGAGGATTGGGAAACGCGAGAAAAACTGTGGCGGAGGCTGGCTTAGCCAAAATGTTAAATATCGTGACACTCCTAATATTTAAGTGTCCTTCTTAGACGTTTAAGTAAATTGTGCTAGTGCCAGGCCGATTTAAAACAGTGTGACTTTTATTTAACTCTTGACAACAACATAAAATGGATACAAAAGATAAAATACAGTTTAGTGTAGTAAAACAAAAAGTATAAGAAATAAAAGCTGTAGCTATAGAAATGAACTTAGCTTTAGAAAAATATTGAGCTTCTTGCCCATTCTTTTGTGACGTAGAAAAGGAAGAGTCTTTCAGTCTGTTACGGAAGACAACGGGTGTTGGGAGTAGCAAGGCTTGTAGGCCTTAAAGCGGAGCTTCACTCCAAAGGGGAAGTTCCACTTTAACCTCCCTAGCGGTATTCCCGAGTGTAGCTCGGGGTAAAGTTTCTGTACCAAAAGCGGTAACCCCCCCCGAGCTACACTCGGGCTTACCATGCGGCGCTGCATAGGGAGTCCCTGCAGAGTTTACCTTTTCCTTTGCTCCCGCGATGTGTCCCCTGCAGCGTCCCCGGACATCTCCCCCGGCTGATGCCGGCATCCGGCTTCTGTGTTCCGGTCCCTGTGACGTCGAGACGTACGGGCGCCGCAGGCGGCAGGAAATTTGAAAATTTTAGAAAAATTTCATTTTTTTCAAAACGAATTTTACATTGCTGTTTCAACCCATGTCACATACATTTTGTCCCGAGTGCTTTGTCCGGCACCCTGCCTGCATTTTGACTGTTCTTTCTGCCTGGAAACTGAGAAAAGTTCATGGTGTCCAAAAAGTGTCCCTTTAGGTCAAAAGCGGTTTTAGACCGGCTAGAGAACAGCGATAGTAAATCAGAACCACTTGCAGAATTGAGTGATAATGATTCGTGGAGAAATTCATCATCAAACACTGAAAACGATTCTGCGACTTTGCTCAGCGATGTGCGAACTTGGCGCTATATTTCAAATTTCAGTGTTTTTGGTTTGATTATATTATTGAATTAAATGTATTATTATTATATTATTATTTTTTATGATTATTTATTAAATTATAATTTCTGATTTTGTGTTTCAAATTTTATCCTCCCCGGGATGTTTACTAGACTCTTGTTCGGACAGATTTCAGTGAGTTATTCCTAAATATTACAGCCTACAATAAAAAAACTACATATTTCCATGCAAAATAATGGTACCGCTTTCAGCACCAAATATCTGAAATAATCAGACCGCCAAGGAGGTTAATGACTGCTCCTTAAGGATTGGCACTTTTGGGGGGGCGGGGGGGGGTTAGCGGGTACCCAAATTTGACAGGTACCCACTCCTACTTCCAGTCCGATTGCCTAGGCAATTGAAAACGAAGGTGTCCTCTGTCCCTGTAGTCTTTTGGCCACTTGACAGGTCCCAGAAGACTACAGGACCATTCTTGAAGCGCAGAGCCACTCGCGCATGCGCAATGGGTACCCAGATGTGAAGCCGCAAGCTGTCACAGCCGGGTGCCCACACTGAAGATGCCGGCCTCCTGGAATACAGGACGGCCGGTGAAACGGGCTGCGGGGGACACACCACAGGACCGAGGGACAGGTAAGTGGCTGGTTTTCAAAAATCAGCAGCTACAGTTTTTGACAGGGTGAGTGGAACTCTGCTTTAAGTAAACAAAATGTCTCTGTGTGTCAGCTTCAGTGTGTATGTGTCGTCACTTCTTATATACTTTTTCAAAGAATCAAAGAATTCATCCCACTGTACAGCTATTTCCTAGTTCAGTCTGAGCTGAATGTATAATCGTCATATTTGTAAGTGTTCTAAACATCTGACTGGTACTTAGCTGACGTTATGTACAAAATACTTCGATCGACAGCAACAAACAATACTGTTACATGATCTTCCCATACTATAGGATCACATAACTACATTCTCCCTAAAACAGGTTCAACCTTCAGTTTAAGGACAGAAGACACAAAAATACATAAACAGAATCAACTATAATTGAGAATATACTATCACACACTATTCCTAACTAATTAGTTAACTAACTATATGAAATAACTAACTAACTATATTATAGATTATAAATTATTCTCTTTATAAAAGATATTTTCTTATCTCTTACCTAACTCTTTACTGCATTCCAAGTGATATATTTTAGGATGGGAAGCCATTGACCTACTGAACTCCTAGCCTAGCCCATTCACATTTAATGTAGCTTATGCTGAGTCTCAATATGCAGACTTTGGAAAATCAGAATGATAAAATAATTATTTTAGTTTATAACAGACGTCTGTATTCTTCAATATTCCCCCTGAATATAATTCATTATATGATATTATATATACATCTACAAATATATGTTGCGCTCCTAAATACTTCTCAATAAATAATAATTAAATTATTACCATTAAATTAATTCAAATTATGATACAAATAACTAATAAAAGTGTATGAATACCAAAAAAATATTTAAATAGATAGTTTTCAACTAATCAATCTCCTCCAAATAAATATCAAAATAATTCCACATGAAATACTCCTCTAAAAAAATGTTTTTACCAAGTGCTCATAAATCATCTATTAGTGACATGATGTACTTACTAATACCCTCAATTTTATTTATATTCATAATACCCTCATTTAATATAATAAAAATAGTAAACCAACTAATAACCCTCAACTTGGAGGAGATTGATTAGTTGAAACTATCTATTTAAATATTTTTTGGTATTCATACACTTTTATTAGTTATTTGTACCATAATTTGAATTAATTTAATGGTAATAATTGAATTATTATTTATTGAGAAGTATTTAGGAGCGCAACATATATTTGTAGATATTTCCAACACAGTTGTAGTTATGTGTTTCATGTTTGCGATCCTCTAGTAATTATCACACCTGTGGCTCGCAAGTTAGTCTGATTCATCTATAACTATATATACATCCATACTTCATTCATGGCCCAACTACACACACTCTGAATCAGTTGTTCCAGAAGCGCCGCTTTCCATAACCAGGTCAGGTAAGGGCTCCATGTACACTGCAGCTGATAATCTGACATTCAGGAGCTTTTCTGCATTTTTTCAGCAGCCCCTGAACTCTCCTTAATGTTCTCCTATGTGTACGTGTACACATCGTCCTTTACAGGCAGTTGAGTTTACAGTCGTTTTTTTGAACGCACCAAACTTGCATTCAGGAGTAGATTTTATCAGCGTTTCAAACGCCAAACGCTTGTAAACATGGCTAACCGCATTTAGAAGCGTTTTTTAAACTGTTCCATATCCAGAGCCTTTTTTTCATCATCAGAAATGCATGCAAAGCGTTTTCCATGTATTCAAATGGACCCGGTACACTGGCGCAGTCAGTTCCAGGTTTTGCGTGAAGGAAACAAATGGTAGAAACGCGCCGCATTACGCTCATGATGGGATCCATAGTGAATACAACCAGAAAAGACCGATCATCTCCACACATACTGTTCTCTCTGCTTCTGCTCTCTCTATTCCTCTCACAATGTCTGAAATAGTTCATTTTTTTACTGTTTTTCAGTGCATTCTGGGCATTTTGGAAGGTCTCCTGATGTTATCTTTAAAAAAACGCTACTAAACGCAAATGCGCATAAACGCAGTATGCAAACATGGCTAAACAGACGTTTAACCTACATTTTCCAGCAGTCAGTTTCCATCATTCAGAAGTGTTTTCCAAACGTCCCGTGTACATGGAGCCCTAAGCCAGAGATAATTCTTTGCCTATAAATACCTGACATGATTTCTTCACCTTTTTTCATTTCTTTCTTAATCAGTTTATAATTGTTTCATTCTAATCATATTTATATAGATCAGATTTGAAATAAAATACATAAAATCATAACAATAAATAGAATAATGAATGGATGTAATAATATATTTCCGGCAGCTGCTGTTACTAAGGTTTTTTCCCACATTGATACAGTGTTTTTAAAACTTTGACCACCATGAACGACCTGAAAATTCAGACCAATCATGTCCTATCTATAGTAGATTTCCCTGTTCATGGTTAAATATAATTACTGCTTTCTTCTTACATAGTTAGTCTGGCTGAAAAAAAGACAAAAGTCCATCCAGTTCAACCATAAAGAAAAAGAAAAAAAAAAGTTATAATCCTACACCCACAGTTGATCCAGAGGAAGGCAAAAAAAAAACCCAGCAAAGCACGATCCAATTTGCTCCTGCAGAGAAAAATTTCCTTCCTGATCCCCCGAGAGGAAATCGGATATTCCCTGGATAAACTTTATCTATAACTGTTAGTATCCAGTTATATTGTGTGTATTGAAGAAAGAATCCAGGACTTTTTTGAAGCAATCCACTGAGCTGGCCAGAACCAACTCTTGAGGGAGTCTATTCCACATTTTCACAGCTCTTACTGTGAAGAAACCTTTCCGTGTTTGGAGATTAAATTTATTTTCCTCCAGATGTAAAGAGTGCCCCCTTGTCCTCTGTGATCCCTCAGTGGGATTGGGTCTACACTAAATTCACCATATGAACCCACTGACCTCTTAGCCATGAAATATCATGGTGTACTTGAACCCCTGATTACAGAGCCCATTCATGCGGTTCATTTTAATCTATCTTATGCTGAGTCTCAATATGCAGACTTTGGAGAATCAGAATTATTAAAGAATACAGACGTCTGTTATAAACTAAACTAATTATAAATTCTTCAGTGACACGCTTAGCTTTACATAAA